TTAGAAGCAACACAGCTAAAGAGACACTTTTTTGAAACACGCTGCCTTTATTTTACGTAGGTCATGGACAACTTTCACCCTAAAGGGCTTAATGAGGTAACTAGCTCGTGTCTTCATAACCATCACCTTTGACATGGCAACTCCACTTTGGGCCTCTTAAATCCGCCTTAGAGATTGGTTTAGAGTGCAACAAGGGACCACTGGTTATCCCTCCACTACTCCATTTTGCCAAGGCATCCACTAGTAAGATCGAGCTTAAGTGTGTGGCAGCAGCTAATCGCTACGATATAGTCACCTAATGAGGACGAACCTATTCAGGCCACAATTTGTTTGCACAGCATGATCAATGCGTAATTGTGACCTGAGAAAAATTTCGAAATCCCGAAGTAGTCGGACAAGTGTGCTATTCATTGCACTCATCTTTTACAACACATTATTACTCAGTTATGCGAGAAGAGGAACGGGAGAAGGTGAGAGGTACTGTTATTATGGCATTTAATCATGAAGCGCTTTAATGTAACCACGTTGTTGGTCGTGGCCCGACTACCTAAAAAGGGTGATATTATCCCTTTCGAGGTAGTTCCATCTATCTCATAAGTTTGTCTTACCGGAGTTATTTTTATAAGGCTTAAATTATCCTCTACATCCGCAGACTCACAATGGCAACGGGAATGAAGACGCAGATGTAAAGCCTTCCGAGTATTGTAACTGGATAGAAGTCACCGAAACCAACAGTAGACATGGTAACCAGAAGAAAATAACAGCAGTCGAGGTAATTCCACTGTAGAGCTTTGTGGTCCTCTTCCCAGAAATCGCCAAGATGGATGATCTGAGCAGGGAGAGAGTGAGATCGGAATGAATTCCATGTGATGAGGTGTCTTGATGATTTCCGCAGACGCCAGTGTCTACTCAACGCATAACGCGCATCCCATAAGCCCTCTAATCCGTTCTTTTTTTCCACTAAACATTTTACTAGAATGGATTAAAGGGACTACCTTATCCATTTTAAATCGACTTATCCATCCGAGTGGCTTTCCATCATAATCACCAGGTTTGATAACTGCAAAGAAGCTTAAGTCTTTTCCATTCAAGAAGTTATTTGCGCTTACCAAATGAATTAGACCACTGGCAACCATCCACATGGCGAACATGATGAAGAAGACATCGACTGTCTCAATGACATGGTTAGACGAGAGGATGCCCATATAGTTTAGCACCTCGCCAAAGTTGAATATGTTCAGAGCCCGTAAAAATCCAAGATCTAACAGACCAAAGGAAAAAACCGAAGTGCTCAATCCTGATGGAGTGACAGTATGTAGCCTACTAACTCGTGAGTCCCTAACTGACGGAGCAGTAGCGACAAATTTGCAGCAAGTTGTTGGACGCAACTGTCTGTATGCCAAAAGCAAAGGATCCTTGTTGAGGGAAACCGAAAAACGCAAGACAATGTTTTGAGTACGATACCAATTAATGTGGAGTCTCCAGTTTAAAGAACTGACACCTCTTCTGTGGCTTCAGCTTTTAATTCTTGCAAATGTTTAAGACAGTGCTGCTCTGCTTGCCTCTATGAAGGTGATAGTAACGCGAAATCCTGCTTAAATGAAATAATCCACTCAATTATTGTAAATGGCTCTTGACGAGGGGGTTAGCAAAGTTGTGCTTAATCACTTTCGACAATGCTTTTACCCAAGCTATTACTGCACCAATGCAGAAAATGTAGGATTCGGAAACACTGACAAGGCATGCACCACGTACCTCACAAGGGCGGAGGTCTCTCTTCATTGCTGCACCATCGGATTGTCTACGTTCACGCCTCGGGGTTGTTTAAAATATCCAGAACGACTCCTTATGCCATTAGGATGACCCGGTGAAACAGAAGTGGATACTGATGGATTCATGCTTAACTTATGAACTAAGTAGAAAGATAAGGCTCAACCTAGCGTTTGGATATCTCCTTTAAGCCTACCACCTTCCAAATAAATGCAAATACTTCATCCTGACAAACAAGAATGAATTTCTCGCCGCCTAATTTTAAGCCAACACATTCTTCCTCTTTTACACAACTGACAATTACTCAAACTCTCGTTTTTTGTTTGTATGACCACATGTGCTGAAATCAAAGTCGGTGTGATTCTCCCTGGGCCGTTTTGCGCTTTCTATACCAAGCAGGGGATTGTGCATCAAATCGAAAGCCCCATGCTTACAGGTTTGTGCTTGGGTCGACCGCCAGGCATTGACACAAAGTAACGTACCTCTGAGGACTTGCAAAGTGCATCTGTTCAGAGCTAATCTAATCACTGGTGCAATGTAACCCGCAACCGGCGCCAAGTCGTGGTTGTAGGAATGAACAACACGAAATGAAAATATCTTTGAACTCTACCTCTACCTGCTGCACCCATCACCAAAGTTGACGTAAAGTTGATTAAGTTAAAGTTTGAACTGATTAGATGGAATACCTATGCAAGTTAAAAGAAACCAATGACAATAGGACGAAAATTTACAAATATGAGAGAGAAAAATGCTTATACATTTGCGAGTGTAATAATCAACTTCACCTAGGAGGAGTGAACTCACTGACCGAGATGATAGCGCGGTTGAAAGGCGGCAACGTAAGATCCACATATTGTAAGCACATCAACCAACGATGTGATCTTGAAGAAGAACATATTTCGATCTACTGCAGCTCCAAGCTAGAGGAGAGAGCAGAGGGAAAGGTGGATGAACAGTTCATTGCAACAAGAAAACGTAGACGTGAATGTTGTGTCTGCTTCAGAGTCTACCCATCATTTTGCGGCTTCAATCTATTTTATTGAAGGAATAAAACTGAAACTGAGTGGGTCCAATTTCAAGGGTATTCTAAGCTCTATGGAGTAGAAGGCTTTTCAAACTTTAGGTTTCACAGCTCAGAAGTACCTTGCAAAAGCCAAGATGATTCGTGAGCGCATAGGCTGCAACTTTGTTTATTCTACAAAGGCCTCTTACCCAGGAGTGGGGCTATTTTGCAGCATTCTTACTTATGACGATGCTACAAGGCATTCTGTTCAAACCGACCATGTTGTCAATGTGATGTCATCAACAGCGTCGGTAAATTTATCGCGGCTAACTAAACATATTCTCGGCGTCTTCAGAACTGCCGGTATAAAAATCCATCCGGTGAATGGGCGCCTATTATGTTTTATACAATGAGAGTGTCATTTTCTAGCGTGGGAATTCATTTCTAAACCTAGTGAAGGTGGAGACACTCTCAAGTCATCTCTCATAATGACGCTGACGTCGCAAACAAGCAGCTTTGGTGTGCAAAATGCATTGAAGAGGCGTTGAGGGAAATGAGCCCACCCGAAGGAGGAAGTAGACTAGGAAGTAAGTGTGAATGGCCAAATCACACCAGTTGAGAATGGACAGTCCGGGTGTCAGACAGAGACCTTGGATTATCAGCGGCGGACGACCCTCAAGAGCCCTATCAAAGTGAATAGCTTTAAGCTTTGTGCACTTATTTGAGCCAGAAAAAAATATGGAAGACGAACTTACTTTGCAACATCTGGTTGCGTTTCTATGATGTAGAGGCTAAAATAGAGACAAAATGTCTTTAATTGCAATGGAATGAATAAAAAAAACTTTACATCAAATTGCACAAATCCAAGCAATGCCTTAAAAGTAAGTAACAGGAAAAAAAGTACTAAGAATTTCCTGCCTC